TGAGAAGGCTGAGGGGGGACTTGGTGACCGTCTATAAACTCACTAGCGGGGACCAGAAGGGCTTGGGGGAGACCTTGTTTCCTCTAGTGCCCCCCGGGATAACAAGGAATAATGGCCACAAGTTGTTGAAGAGTAGGTTTAGATTAGACATCCGTAAGAACTACTTCACAGTTAGGGAAGCTAGGATCTGGAACCAACTTCCAAGGGGAGTGGTGCTGGCTCCTACTCTGGGGATCTTTAAGAAGCGGCTTGATGCCTACCTGGCTGGGGTCATTTGAGCCCAGTTTTCCTCCTGCCCAGGCAGGGGGTCGGACTTGAAGATCTACAAGGTCCCTTCCGACCCTACTTCTATGATTCTATGAACTATGAAACTATATTTAGGTATCAGTTGAACACCATTTCCAAGCAATTTGGAAGCCTACCCGTTCCTCAAGCATTATGATAACAGAAATTATTTTAAAATAATCAGGTGTTTGATATGGGGGGTTTTATCATGGAAAATCAGAGCTTTCCCTGTTCTCTTTGCACACCAGGACACTGGTTTAGCTGCAGCTGTTGCCCCCGCTGCTTTGTGATGCTGAGCAGCCCTGCCATGCTGGTGCCCCTCACTCCCAAGCCACAGCTCCCCCTCTCCCAGGGCTGGCTTGGAGATTGGGAGCTCGCTGGGGCAAGGAAGGGGGGCGCTGCCTTTACCCTGCAGCATAGGTGACTGGTGACTGTTGATTGGGGAGGGGGCGGCATTTATAGGTTCTGGTGGTATGCCGCAGGGTTCAGGGCAGGTACTCGAGACAGGAGTTTTGATTTCTGTTCTAGAGCTACTTTTAATGTTATGTTTTAATCAACGAGGATTAAAGGGCGACAAGTGTACTGAACAGAAATAGCCATCCTTCCCACATCACACTAGGGTCATGCAAGGGGCATTGTTTAGATGTGGAACAATAGTGAGGGAGGGCCATAAAAAAGTGCATAATCAAGTGAAATTAAGAAAATGAAAAAGTACCTGGAACAGCTTCTAAACAGTGGAGTGCTGGAGCCTGTTTCAAAGCCCATCAAAGGCAGAGTGAGAGTCCTTCAATTTTAAATTTTCAGAAGGATGCAAAGCTAGTCGTAAATTAAGAAATTTTTTTTGGCATATATGGCAGCTCATGTGAAAATAGAATAGGAATGGCATGCTGTGCATAGGCCAAAACTAATGGCCTTTTGCTTAGTAAAAGCTGCTCATGGTTATTGGGTACCATGGGTATAGGAACCCTGGATGTGCCAGAGAGATGTGTAGTTCATCAGGGATTATCCCTGTGTGGAATTTGACCATTAATATGTGTATGTTTTCTTTGTGTGCAACCAATTTTGAAGGTGGCATATTTTTTGAGAGAGAGAGAGAGAGATATATTATCTATCTGTCTTTATATAATTTTGAAGGTGGCATATTTTTTAGATGGATAGAGATGAGGGTCAGAACTTGGTTTGCTTAAAAAAAAAAAACTTTTTACAAGATCAGCATCAGACTTCCCAAAACATTAATCTTTGAATGAGACCAAGTATGTACAGAAATGACTTTCTGAAAGGTACAAGCTGGGTGAGAGGGGTTGTGGGGGGTTTAGAAGTAGGTTTATGTTGAAAGTACCTTAGTAATGACACTACTTACAGCTGGGATTTTCAGAGGGGGCTGAGAGAATTGAGCACTTGGACGCTTGTGGTTTGGGATGCAGTTGCATAACGCTTTTAGGCAGATTACAGTCAATATAAACAACTCTAGATGACTAAAAATTTGTTAGCCTTCTAGAAATCATGAGCTGAGCTTGAAACTAGTGCCATTTTTAAACCTCTCATGTTTTCTGTTTTTGAGCCTCTTGGGCTTGTGCTTCTAAGATTTCTCAACTGAGAGAGGGATTTTTTGGGGAGGTGGGGGGTTCCCCCCCAATTCTTCAGCTGAAAGTGGTTGTATCATCTAATCAATTGATTCCAGTAGCTGGGACTTTAAGAACAAAACTCCTAAAATTGCCAAGATTTGCAATGAAATTTTGAGAATTGGCAACATAATTATGCCCATTGTTACTATTCTGGAGAAAACCTTGAATTTATTTGAAACTTACTTATAACCTGTACATGTGTGATGCAGTGGCAAGAGCGCAGATCCTTTAGGTCTCACTTGCATAAGCAGTTTTCTTGATGTGGGACTTACAATTTGTGCAGGTAGCAGTTACAGTATTGATTATTTTTTCTAAGATTTCTCATATTTATATTAAAGCCCTTAATAGAATGTTAAATAAAAATGAAACAAGGCTGTGGAAAGATCAGTGTTCCAAAGTTTGGCTGATGATAGAAAATAGGATTAAGAAATCTGAAAGGCTTTTTGTTAAAAGCAGTCAAATGATCATTCCTTTGAAAAAATAAAGAAATTGGAGCCTGAAGAAAAAGAGGAAAATGCTCTACTATTTTAACATGTTATCCACCTTGGATACTGCAGATTATCTCTGTGCACAATTACCTTGTTTTTTCAGAAGATTGAGGTACTAGGCTCTCACTAAGTATTGAAATGGGAGAATGTTCCTCTTAACATTTGCATTAAACAAGAAATAGTTTGCTGCTTATAATTAAAATATTCATTTATTAATACTTATTGCAGATGACGGTTTATCTTCAGATTCTTTATCAGTTGGCAGCAGCCCTCCCAGGGCCCACATGTAGCAGTTCTGTATCATCTCCGTTTTTGCAGTCGGAGAAATCAAGGTGCATGGAGTTAATTAAGTACCTTGAACATCAAGTCTGTATCAGAGTTGAAGAAAATCTCATATTGGGTTTCGCCCTTGCAGGGGCTGAATTTCTTCAACTTCTTTCAAGATTATTTCATTAAACCTGTCCTCCAGAGGTGAAATTCACTGTTGTGCAGAAAACCTGCCTAAGGCCAATGCATCGCTAATCCACTTAGTCTCCTGCAAGTTACAGCAGTCACTGTATTTGATCTTTTAGCGTTAGTATTATAATTCAGTTCTGCAAATTGTCTATTTCTCCCTTTCAGGTTCTGGGACTTTTTGTTGACTTAGTACTACAGCCAATGTTGATTCAATATGTGGAGCTATGAAGACTTCTTACCTGCTCACAGTGGGAAAGAGATATATCATCCATGTAAATCAAGAACTACTTGGCCGTTTCCTAGGCAACTGTGGAATAATTAAAATGAAGAAGGGCTGATGTGCCAGGCATAAGGGATTTTTATCAGATGAAAATGAAATGCTCTCTTCTGTCTTGAAGAATCAGATCTGTATCTGCCAGCAAACATAAGGTACCACATTTAAAAAGAATATCAATTTATTGCTTTGGAGATCCTTAAGGAAATGAATAAGAATGACAGTTTAACCAGATTTTATTCTAATTAGAAGTGATAATTGTGTATCCTTTTGCTTCTATCGGAAGCCATGCCCTAATTATTATTGAATCAATTTTCGTTCCAAACTTCAGTAGGGCGGTTTAAATTTGCTTTATGGTTTGGGGCTTGATCCTACTCCATTTGAAGCACAGATGACTTTCATTCTGTTTGTTCTTCTGTAGGGAGAGATTGAGGTCCATATTCAGAAAAGGACTCAAATAGACACTTGATGTTCACAGAATTGTAAAAATGAGGGTTGGAAGTGACCTCAGGAGGTCACATCTAGTTCAGCCCCCTGCTCAAAGCAGGACCATTCCCAACTATATTATCCCACCCAAGAATTTGTCTATCTGGGTCTTGAAAACCTCTAAGGATAGAGTATCTGCTTAGAACTAAGACCCCAATTTGGAAAAAAACCTATGTAGAAGATGAATGACATCTTCCCGCATGATCCGGGGACAGCAGGGCAGACCCTACAATGAGAGGCTACGGGACCTGAACCTGTTCAGCCTTCACAAGAGAAGGCTGAAGGGGGACCTTGTGACCATCTATAAACTCACTAGGGGGGACCAGAAGGGTTTGGGGGAGACCTTGTTTCCCCTAGCGCCCCCCGGGATAAGAAGAAATAATGGCCACAAGTTGTTGGAGAGTAGGTTCAGATTAAACATCCGTAGGAACTACTTCACAGTTAGGGCGGCTAGGATCTGGAACCAACTTCCAAGGGAAGTGGTGCTGGCTCCTACCCTGGGGGTCTTTAAGAAGCAGCTCGATGCCTACATGACTGGGGTCACTTGAGCCCAGTTTCCCTCCTGCCCAGGCAGGGGGTCGGACTTGAAGATCTACAAGGCCCCTTCCGACCCTACTTCTGTGATTCTATGAATGGATAAGTACCTGGTTTGGCTTTTTAAAAAAAAGAAAAAGGAAATCTTTTTTGCCACATTGCCAGAATTTTTCACATATTTACTTCCCTTTTACATGTAGAAAGCATGAAGGTAGGGTATTTAAAATAAAAAATCAAGAAAAAAGATAAGGGAAAATTCACGTAGGTGAATAAGTCACACAAACAATGTATTTGCATGAACCAGTTGGCACATTTCGTAGTCTTTCCCCAAATTTGATTTCAACTTAATAAGGCCTGAAAATGGCACGTGCATGAGTAGATGTGCGGATGAGTACTGGGTACGTAAACATTCAAATTCCAGTTGCAGTCGGTGTGTTTCAGGTGCGCAGGATTGTTGGAACAGGCCCACACTACATTTATTGATTGAAGCAGGGATTTGGGGTTTTTTAGTAGTTGAAGGACTAGTCCAGGGCTGTCCAGCTAGTGGGCTGTGTGAGACCCACTACAGGGTCCCCAGATTCCTGCCTGACTGCTGTTTTCCCCCCATTGCTCTGGTTGCGAGAGTGGCTTTAGTTTCTGGGCTGTCCGGGAGGCCAGTGGCTTGCCCTGATGTGGCCCATGGGGCACCCTTCTGCTTAGAAGTTGGACAGCCCTGGATTAATTTATCCTGGAAGAATCAGCATGTAATCATTGAGTTGATGTTGACTCTTGGAGTCATTTAGAAGTCTTGTTGAAAAAAAGGTAGTGGCTAAAATTGCTTTCAGCCCCAAACTCAAAATCTGCATATAGGGTAGAAGATAATGAAAATGACCCAGGTAAAGAAAGAGAAGCCTTTACTGTAATAGCTTAAAACAACAACTGTGAAAGGTTGTGGAAAGCATTCATGATCTAAAATGGTTGGAAAAGTTCTTTCTAAAAATCTACTGTAATATATTACTGAATATTCCCCATCTCTTCCACTTGCTAAAACATTTGAAAAGGGAAAAAAAATATCCATCCGACTATACAGTTAAACACTGAAAGCCACATCCACGTTTTTCTCATAGTCTGAATAATTGTATGTTAAAATCTGGCCATCTAGCCTAATGCTTTAGTATGTTAGTTTATTTAAGGCATCAATCAATTTAGAAATAGTTGGAACACCATCTGGGCTTTACATAATAAAAATTTGCTGCCAAAAAGTTTGTGGGTTTCTTCTGGGATGTGTATGGGATTTCACATTCCATCCCTTAGGCTTTTTTAAAGAAATCATAATTGTTTGTAGATATAATGTATCCAAAAAGTATGAAATGTTTTTGGCAACTTGGTAATATAAGAACCCCACTAATCCGCCACTGTTACCTTTTTTTTTAAACAGTTTACAGATTCTGAGATGCTGACTCCTTAACATCACTGAGTAGATTTGGAAAGTCCACATACAACTGTGGTGTTAGATTTCCAGTTTTAGCTATTCACAAGTATTCTTTACTTGACACATTGACTGCCCTTTTTGGGAGGTATAAGGCCTCAAAATGTTCAGTTACTCCTAGCCCAGAGTCAGAGATAAAACTGCATGAGAAAAATGGCATTTTTACACACGGGAAAGAGCCTTGCAGACAGTGTATGTACATATCACTGCCAGTGGATACTAGCTTGGAGAAGCCAGTAGCGAACACATTTGGCTGTTGATGGAAGACCAGGGGAAGGAAGAGGGACCCTAAAATAACTTTGCTATCCAAGGAACATTAATAGGACACAAAGTTTTTAGATTATGATAAATTTATTTTAAAAAATAATCTATGTGAAATGATTACTGTAACAGAAGTTTGTTCCTGGCCTTGTGATCATTATTAACTACAGCAGAATTACTTGGGATCTGCAGCCGTGTAGATGAGACAAAAAATCTGTCATATATAATTTGGGCCAAAATGTTCAAAGCAGCCACACATTTTTGGCTGCCTCAGGTTTGGGTGCCTACCTTTGACATGTCTTAAACCGGACTTTTCAGAGGTCCTGATGTGTAGTAGGAGATGTATAAAAGCAGCATATAACTACCTTTTTCTTCTTCATCTCACTCTGCCTTGCTCAGATCCTGTGCTGAGTTGGGGACTAGTTTGACCACAAGGCAGGTCCCATTATTCACACTCATCATCCTCCCAACCCACCCAGTTAACCATGCTACTTTTCCAGGTCTCAGTACTGGAGTTCATATTTCAGCACTGAGGACAATGGAGATCTGCATGTGGCTTGGGGACAGAAAAATAACAGTATTTTTACTAAATTTGGACAGCTGGACAGTGTAGAAGAAAAGAGTGGTCATACTTAATGTATGCTGTGCTTCTCATTTATGGCTCACTGTACCTTATGCCATGAGATAATTTGCAGGTCTGTGTGGGTGGGAAAAACATGTACTTGAGAGAGAAATTATTAAATTGTTTGTACTTTTAAAAGATCCAGTCTGTGGCAGTTGTACAAAAACTTTAAATCTACCAAGGGTTATTAGTAATTAATGAAACCTGTTTCCAGAAAATGTTACTAAAACGTATGTATATCTTTGTACTGTTTAACTCCTTTATAGGAGTGGAAGCAAGACAGAATTTATACTATAGACACGTGTCCTGGTTGCTTGGTTTCTTTTTCTCATTGGTATTTTTGCTCTTTTCCAGGAGTCAGTAACATTTTGCTGCCCAGGACCAGAGCATATGACCTGGCTTCCTACTTCAGGCCCCAAATTTCCACCTTTCAGAGAGCTCAAGCTCTCACTGCAGATCCCTGGTCCCTCTGCAGTCAGGGTGAGCGCAGGCAGAAGAGTAGGAGCAGGGGGCTGGCTGTAGAGGAGGGCATTGCGGAGCAGGCACCAGCTTGATGCAGCTTTGTGCTGCCCCAAACTGGGTCAGACCTCCTGGGCTACATCCCTCTTTGCAGCCCAGATTTGGCCGATGGGCTGTAGGTTGCCAACCCCTTCCCTCAGGCAAGTCAGTAGAACATAATTTATTGGTCTGGTTTTGAAGAAGAAAAGAGACGTGCTTATATACTGCTCTCAAAAAGCTTATTTTGATGCAGTGATTCGTTTTGTCACATGGGTTGCAGAAACAGTTATATTAAGGGAGAGAGACAGTAAGGTTGTCTATTGATAATATACATTCATGCCTTAACCTTTGTTATATAGGTGGGACCTTTAAATGTGCCCCACAACCCACTTATGAGCTGCTTCTTTCTTGGAAGTGTAAGAAATTTTAAAAATCTGGGTTCTTCTAAAAGTTACTCTTCCCCCACATAAGAGGTGCCTCTGCTGTAGGTAGATAAATCCTAGAGGGAAGAGCTAAAGTTGTGGGCTCTTTTTCGGTTTTTGGAAGGAGGAGCTCTAATCGGAGAGCTAGTTCTTTAACTCCACATAGAAGCAGGGCAATGGGCCACGTATCATGGAGGGCAGTTGTTAAGCACGGCACGCCGAAGGCTTTTTTCCACTGGACAACAAGCATGGTCTCTTCTCATGGGGTGTCCTTTGCTATAGACAGGAAATCATCTTCTGCCCATAGGGGCGTTAACTTTCCTAACCCAAGATCTTTGAGGGCCATTTCATAGTTCCATGGCCATCAGCAAAATTCATTCTCCAATCTTGGACTTCAGATAATTCAGCGAGGGAGCAATAAAATAGAATTGTCCAAGTCTATCAATTCAGGAAACTATTTTGTGTCCACAAGGATGTTTGCTAAGTATCACAGCCAGTATCTGAGGTTCTGATGGATTATTTTCCTTTTTAGTATTGTGCATAGGCCCAGGAACACTTACAGTAATAGCAATCGTATTAGTTCAGAGTGAAAGAAATGGTTCATTGCAGTGATAAGATACATGAATAGTATATGAAGATCAAGCTATGGTTGCAATTGTAAGAGTTTACCACTAACTGGTAGACGTTGTGATCAGTTAGAACTCGGTGTGTCCTTTCCAGTTATTTACGGTATAAGTCTTCTGAATATCATTCGGAGGAACATCCCAGCCAAATGATAAGGTAGGGGTCAGCAACCTCCAGCACATGTGCCAGAGTGTGCTCAGTATTTTGAGTGCTTAGCAGAGTGTGTGAGCAATTTGCTCA